TTCGGCTTCTCAAGCACAGTGGAGCCGACCTTTTGTGCTCCTATGTCTGATGACCACCTTGAGTGGTCTGTCAGTTTGTTTTGTGACTCTTTTGGTGGCCTTTTTCATTTCTTCCTTTATTGTTTCTTGTTTTTCTTTGTTTGTTTACTCAAATCTTATGGCCAACATGCCAACGAAGTAGAAATTAGGGGTTGGTCGTTGCTTGCCTTAATCTCCTTATCACGGCATCTTGGAGAGTGAGCTTATCTTCAAAAGTAGATTCAAGGATTTCCAGTTCCTGAAATGGTCGACCAAAAGAATTTGAAATAATCAAGTTTTCTAACGGTTGTTCGTGTAATTGTTATTGACTTTATTTATATTTATTTTTTGTTAAACTTGATCTATTTTAATTGTTATCTCCAATAGGGTTTTATTTGTTTTATCACTTGGTCTTATCACTAAGATCAAAATCTTTTATGAAGATGCCATATGGCTTTGCTTTAATACAAAAGTTCAGCTGAATTCAAAAAAAAAAAAAAAAAAAAGAAAAAGCTCTTTGGATTTTATTTTTAGGTTAAATGTTAAATTTGGTCCTTCAACTTTAACAAATGTACATTTTTGATCCATCAACAATTTTTTACACTTTTTTTATCCCTCAACTATAAAAAATGCACACCGTTAGTCCTTCTATTAATTTAAACCGTTAACTCTACCAATGTGGCATTTTTTATATCTTTTTTTGATGATGTGGAGAGTAAAATTTTAAAAAGTGATGATATGAATAAAACTTTTGCCATGTCATGCCGAAACGTGCCAAGTCCACCCAAATGGGTCTCACATCACCACTAAGAATTGCTTCTTTGCCCATCTGTTACTGCTTTTGTTCTTTCCATCAACGATGTTCTTTTCATTTCAAGATTAAAATTATTTAGATAATACTTCAAAAATATGAAGAAAAAAATCTCAAAAATTGCTCACAATAACCTGCAATTTGGATAATCTCTTGACAAATAAACATATACTAAAAAAAAAAAAAAGTGGAGTTGGATTCGATAGAACCCAGCCTGGGTTCCACCGAACCCAGCAGATCTAGGTTCGGTGGAACCCAACGTTGGGTTTCTTTGAACCCAG